TTAATAATCCTCCATGATTTACTTTATCCACAGTCTCAATAAAAGCAACTACGCATGCATCCAAACACTTTGTTGTAATTTATATTTTTCCACCACCTAACCATTTACAGTGCTGTGAAACTAATTTCTACTAGTCGGAAGGCTGGTGATGTGATCCCTGGCTGCTCCGGTCTGCATGCTAAAGTATTCATGGTCAATATACTGAACTCCGACTTGATCCGTTCATCGGTGTGTTAGATATTAAGCACTTAGGCATAGAAAAAAAGTGCCTGTGTGAATGAGGCTTGTAGTATAGAGTGCTTTGAGTGCTTAAGCAAGGTAGAAAAGCGCAGTCCACTTACCACTTGTTGTTGAATCATGAACTCTGACCTTAACTAAGGGTGACAAATATGCAAACGACTAAGAAATCAGGAAGGGAGCAAACCGTTTTTCACAACACTGTACGTACAGTATACCTACCATAGATTGTGAGGTTAAAAACCTAAATGCAGACTCAGGGCTCAAAGTGAAAACAGGAGCGCTTTATTTTAAAGATGATAGCTCCAGTCCAAAAACAGCAACAAGCAAAGGGGAATCCAAATATTAGTTTTCCAAAAACCAGCAGACAGGTAAGAGGACTGCAGACCAGCAGACAATCTGACAGAGGCTACAATGAAGACAGAACTTTTTATACACATCAGGGCAATCAGGGAATCAGGCACAAGAGGGTAACAAGACACTAGTGTAGACAATAAGAACAATCAAACAGGGTAGGAAGAAAAACTAAACACCAGAGACACATAAATATCAAAGTAAAGCATGACATGAATAATTACTGAATTCTAAAACTATAAACAGTAACTAGAACTAAAAGACCTCAAACTGACTAAATCAAACAGAGCACCTGAAAATAAGAAAACCAAGCAAAACACCAAACGAAACAAAGGAAACCTGAAGAGAACCTCAGGAATCTGCTACATGCACAAAACTCCAGGATCATGACAATACCTGTTCATTACAGTGCACCTTGTGTACCTGTTACATTCCTCTGAAAAAGAGTTGAGCATTCAATGATTTTGATCTGTTTTTGCTCCAACCCCCAAAAAAGAGTTCCTGCTGCTTTTTCTGGAAAACACCAGAGCACTGATATTGTCATATTTTATTCCCATAACTCTTATTTTGAAGTTATGAACCATGGCAAATCTAATTATGCTCTCTTGGTACTAAATAGTCTAAGGAAAAGATCCCATTCATTTCTCAAACGAAGCCTTTCATTGACAAAGGTCAAATACTGACCTCATCGTGAATATATTAGGGTGGATCAAACAAAGCACTAACCTTCTGCCTAAAGCAAATCCTTAAATAAGACTGTTAACTGAGTAAAATGTGTTTTACTGTTTTGTCCCAGTGCACTATGCGTTTTAATTATTTAGAAGTTTAGTTGGAAACAGAGCCACAGGTATCCCATTTTGGCTGCATGAGGCACGCAACAATGGCTCATAAAGTCAAGAGGCAGAAAACATGAACAGCACTATGAACAGGTTGCGAGTTGTTTGACACTTCCTTTTTTTTTCTTTCAATAATTTCAGCCATTTAAATCTAATAAGTCATCGGTGGATACAGATGACGAGAAGACAGGATCCCGAAAGACAGAAATAAAAGCCGATTAGCCACATGTGACATTTGTTTCATATTATTATTATTATTATTATTATTTCACAGTTTGTCGCTAAACTGAAGCAGATGCCGTGATGTGGTTTTGTTTATGTGAGCTTTGTTAGATGCTCTTATAAACTCTGTGGGGACTCGTGGGTATTTTCCATCTGAGGTCCCGTCGAGTGCGGCGCGGAGACGTGACATCAAACATTAATGCGCCCATTCTGTGGGTGTCACAAATAATGAAAGAGGCTTTTCTGTGTGAGTGACGACGCTCTTCCTCACACCCCATGTGGTGGTGATTCGTTGAGCTTACTCACGTTTCGTCTCCTAACAAATTAATATTTATTATAGTCACTGAGGCATTCAGCTCGGGGGATTTTTGACACCCAACAGACAGTGCAGCACTCTCACATAAAGGATCTCTCTAAGATGGGTCTATTTTCAGTAATCATTATCTTCACAGCTCTGTCTGTGTGAGGCAGAGGAGGGTCACAGAGGACTCCTTTGGTGACATGAGTGACAATATCAATAAACAATACAGTCTCTGTCTGTCATATCTCTGAGTAGGCCGTGTCCTACACTAGCCTGCGATGTCACACGCAGTGACGTGTAAAAGTATCTCCTAAGAGATCTGCATACACCAAGTGTGTGGCAGGAAGCACAACATACGTCACAGTGCCGGACACATCAGGGCTCTCATGTTGAAGAGTATCTTTGCATTAATACAGTCGTGGTAAAGAGAAGGTGTGGCCTCTGTCAGTTTTAGGATCTTACATATCAGGAAATCTTAAATTTAGGTCAACTGAACCCGACTTGAACAACAACACATGGCATTTCACAAAAAGTTCTCAAAAATGCAGAGAGTGTGTCAAAAACACCCCAATCAGGGTCACTAATTGTTTTCTGTATGACTTTATCAGTCACTCACATCAGTGTGGAGCAATTTTGGCCTATTCTACTTCACGGGATTGCTTCAGATCATTGAGGTTTGCAGGTATTTGTTTATGCAAAGCTCTCTGCCACAAAGGTCCTGCAGCATTTCAGTCGGCTTGAGGTCTGAACTTTATCTGGGCCATTGTGTCACCTTGACTCTTTTCTATTTTAGACTATTATAGTATTGTTGCTGTGCTTTGGATCATTGTCCTGTTTTATGACCCAGTTTCAGCCATATACCAAGGAGTTCATTGCTGTTTTGAGGACTGCAAGGGTCCCCGGTCCTGTGGCTGCAAAACAAGCCCACATCATCACCCGTCCACTATTGTGCTTGACAGTTAATTTGAGGTGTTTGTGCTGATATGCTGTGTTTGGTTTTTGCCAAATGTGACACTGTACATTATGTCCAAACATCTCCACTGTGGGCTCATCAGTCTTGTTCCAGAATTCACACAATTTTTATAAAGTTCCTAAACTTTTGTTTTTATAGAGGTGCTCACACTTGCTGATGATCAGTTAATCAATTGCATTTGATTAGCAGCACGTGGATGACACTTGACACTTGCCCTCCTCACTCCTATAGAAGTAGTAAAGGTCTACTTAATTTTTCACACAGTGCTTGTGCATTTTGGCTTGATTGCTGTTAAATAAATAATGACATGGTGTTACACGGCATGTGTCGTACTTCCTACTGATATAGAAACATTAGAAATGAGAATGTACTTAATTTAATGATGACTTTGTCGTCCTGACCTGTCTCTCTCTCTCTAACCCTTTTAGGCATATGTAACTGACCGAATCTAATGATTAAATATGGACTTAATAATTGCTCATAAAAATTATACACAGAGGTTGAATAATCTGCTCTGTCAGTTTCAACTCAAAAAAAATGCTGTTGAATAATTTTTCCATGCAATGCGAACTTCACAAAGAAAGACTCTCTGCTGCCTGTGACCTTCCTGCTGTGAGGGGCAAGTGCTAACCATGCACCATGACGCCGGCCATGCAGCCACCCACTGTGTGGAGTTTGCATGTTCTCCCTGTGCTTGAATGGGGTATCTCCGGGTACTTCGGCTTGCTCCCACAATCCAAAGACATGCATGTAAGGATAACTGGTGACTCTGTGTGTATCACCTCTAATGTGCTAGCCCTGCGATAGACTGGCAACCTGTCGAGGCTGTACACCAACTACCTGTGACAGCTGGGATAGGCTCCAGCACCCCCCACTCCAACCCTTAATTGGATAAGTGGTTAAGAGGATGGATGGATGGATGGATGGATGGATGGATGGATGGATGGATGAGCGACTCAATTTTTAAGGTACAAGTGGACCCTGTACATGCATGTAGTAGTAGTTGTAGTAGTTGTAGGCAGTGTAGTAGCCATTTGTAAGGGTGTGGTAGATAAATAAAAAAAGATCAAAACATGTAATTAATCTAATAATCATATGTTATTCAGTAATTGCTTTTATAACAAATATGAGATAATATGTAGTGTAATTGTTTTTTTCCCCCCAACTTCCTTCCCTAAACTGAACGTGCATGTCTAGCAAGTGGCTCCGCTTTTAGGTGACTCAGTCTTTTATTGTAATCTGCTCAAAGCAAGTTCACATTACATCCGTACATTTGAGCCTGTTTACATAAGCACCGACTGTCTCTCATTCATTTTCTACACCTGCTTGTTCCTGTTTTGATCAGTGTGAACAATTAGGCAGGAAAACATCACAGTGGCATTTTTTTGACAGTCTGATTTTTTCCATTGACCTTAAAAAAAATGTTATTCAGTTTTATTTCATAGATGAGCAGATTTGTGTGATTGTGTTACATTGTCAAATGTGAACATAAGCATCAGCCAGCATATAAAGCTTAAATATGGAGTCTTAAACTATGTTTGGAATTTCTTCATTTGTGGCCTATGTGCCATTTTTGAAGAGATCGTAACATTAAAACATTAAAGAACCACACGTGAGAGACTTGCCCTTGTATAAAATAATTAAGAGCTCCAATATGACTCACTATAAAACTGTAAACAAAAATAACATGTGAATTGAGAAGATTGTATGATGACAAATGAACCGTTCACGGCTGTCATTTAATACAATGAAACCATGCGAGAACATGACAGAGAGGAATCCATACAATGAAGACTTGGCTCAGTACCATACAGACACTTTAGAATTGGGCAGGGCGCACAGAAATGCTTGAATGAAAGCATGTATCAACAAGAAGTTTCAGACCAGGAGCAAACAAATATGAGCCTTAATACCTCTGAGAAGCAGACAGGTCAGCGTGGATTCGAAGTGACAGCGCTAGATTTTCTTCCCTTTGTTGAACAGCCATTAGCAACATTTCACGTGTTAAATTAAAACCAGAGCGCTTCTTGGAAGTGTGTTTAGCTGCATTTGGAGCGGGTCTCTCCTGGCGCACGAACACAAAATTACTTTAATTCTTGAAGGGCTGGGTTACTGGTGGAATTCAGTTTTGCGTTAGATAAAAGGCAAGTGAAGCTTGTAAATCATGAGAGGAGATGGAAAGGCTTTCTCGGGTGCCATATCTTAAATAGTGCAGCGTCCTTTCTGTGTGGTCTGCGTGGTGTTGGCCTGAGCTCACCTGGATATAAAACCGCGTATTGAATGACAAAATGCTCCAATTTGTTAACCTGTGAATGTAATTTCTGTGTAACAAGTTTTGAAGTTCGAGAAATTGCGAATATGTGCATGAGCTAAGTGTCTGCTGGTATTTACAATTTCGTTCTAGTAAATAACAAGTGAGATAGTAACCTCACATTTGAGACGTGCTGTAGCCGTGAGACGGAACTTGACGCCGAGGCGCACAGAGTGAGGAGATCAGGTTAGAAACATGGATCGCAACAGAACATCTCTAAATCGCATTCCGCTTACTGAAATCTAACCCGGGGACATCAGGATGTGTGACATAATCCCCAAGACATCTGAAAACCGCGCTCCTCCAAACACGGCTCCAGGGGTGGTTTGGAGAGATATGTGGACCACTGTTTGCTCTTGCAGGGATCTATAAAAGAGGGGCGGACACCAACTGCCCCCAAACGTCAGAGCGCACTTAACTATAAATCTCTCCAAACTGCTCTCTGCGCCCGGCGCGTTGTTATGCGCAAACATCTGTCGTGCCTCAGTCCAATATGAAGACAATGCGTGTGGACACCCTTCGAGGTTCATAGACACCAGCTGACCTGGAGAATATGGAGAATAAATATCGCCGGGCTTCTTGTTTACATTGACGAGATTTGTATAAAATGTTGGCGATTGTGACATTTTAACGCAGTTTCTGGATATGAGAGGTTCTTGACTGTTATATCAAAAGTCGGACTACACGATCGGGCACTCTGGCAAACATATTGCGCACTTTTTAGCGCCGTGTTCGTGTGCTGGAGACACTGATGTCTTCATTGGACTCCTTTCAGTTGGAGATGGTGGCCCTCTCTCGGATTTCCAACGTGGAAACGTAGCATCCAATTAATCAGCGGCAGCAACTGTACCCCCAAGGCGCAGTGGCACTTGGTCCGCTCTGTTCAGCACCTACCTTTGGACTCTGAAGTGTGAAAAGGCGCGTGGATGGTCGGTGTGCTGAGTCCGAATATGAAAAACATAGCTGGTGCGTTACTGCAGCCTTTTTTCTCCCGCTTGGACACAAACTGAAATTGAACTCGCTTGAAGGAAATTTTCGTGCTGGGGTTGTTGAAATGATTCACGCAGCGGAATCAGCTGGGGACATCAAATGAGTGGCGTTTTCTGTTTGGATTTTTACCACTAAAAGCCGAGCTAGTTTCAGGTCTGCATGGGCCATATTTAAGGTAAGTAAGTCTTTTTTTTATTTTCTCATTTCAGAGTGTCACACCAAATACTGCCTATAGTTTCGGATTGTCTGTGCGCATTTAGATAAAAAACAAATAGTGACTGTGAACGACGGGACTTTCACACGTATAAAGACAGTAGAACTTTTGTATTGTATGTCTGAGCCAGTATTTATCTATGCATAACTGTTTAGTTTTGCTGCAGACTCAACATGCCATTAGACAGAGTCACGTAAGCTTTGGGGTTCGCCATCTGGCCAACTCACACTACTATTTAGGCAATCGTTGCCAAAATGCTTCGATGCGTGCTTTAAGCAGCGCATTTTTTTTCCTGTGAGGCGCACCCTCCCAGTCTCTCACAAGTAGTAAGAGCTTGGCTGATTTTAACGCAGCGTGAATAAATACAACCAGTCTGCCATCAGTAGCTTTCTATTTAATCACGCATTTAAAACAGTACTTTTACGCACAGATTTGCGCATTCCTGCATTGTTATTTTTAGCTTTCATTTGTGGTCTTTTGTGGATTCTTGCTCTTTTACGGCACAATATGCTCATTTATTTTGTTTTTAAAAATGTGAACCAACATTTTCTGGCAGCTTCACTCTGATATTCACGTTCACGGCACATGCACAGAAAAAAAAACTGAGGATCAAAGCTGCTTGACATGATGACACAGTTATTAATAAAGAATGAGTCAGGGTAGGTCTGGCCACAACAGTAGTGTTTCAGACACTTTGCTGACTTCATTACAAACTAGAGGAGGCTCATATTCACTCTGCCCATTTTTATACCCATCAGTTTGTTTTGATTTAAAATAAAATATTATCTTGTTTTGTTTTGTTTGCAGCTTTCTTCATAGGAACTGAGTCTAAGATGAAGTTATGGGATGTTTTGGCCATGTGTTTGTTGCTCCTGAGCTCTGTTGCTACAAGGCCTCTCTACCAAAACACTCAGCCAGCCAAGAGGACTTATTTCCCCAGCAGCTATAGTGATTCTGTGCCCTTGCCTTCTTTGGAGGACGAAGCGCCATCGTTTGAGCGTGAAGACCACCGACTGCAGGAGATCTCAAAGGAGAATCAGTGTAAGTATGTTTTTGTAAGATGTGTAGTCTGTCTTGAATTTGTAATTAGGCTGTATGGGTGTCACATAAGAGATGTACTGTTTGTCCAAAGCAATGTCAATGTAATAATATGCAATTAACCATTATATAATCCAGGCATATTACCCTTTTGATTTGATGCATATGTAATGTTGGTCTTCCTTGACTAATTACACTTGGGAAACAGCACACGCAGTGATAAGCGAGGCAATATGCTGAGCCCACAGTGGAGAGTCCCATATTGATAAGGCTGTCAGACAGGCTAGTTATCAGACGGAAGATCTTAATTTGCGTTTTATTGGCACTTTGGGTTGCATCATACGGATGTCAAAACAATCCAGCAGGAAGAATAAGAGTGTGAACAGCTCCAGTCCCAAACATGGGGTCATTCTCAACACTACCCCCTTCTCCCTTTGTTTATATTCACCTCTGCCTCTCTGCGGTTTAGAGACCCGTAACCTTTACCCATCTGCCAAAGCTCAGAAATTATGGTGTGGTTTAGAGAACAGGGGCCAGGTCATGAGGATTTTCGACAGACAACACCGGAAAGTTTGAAGCACTGACTGAGAGTTCTGTGTTTATGCTCATTTTAACAGCGACAGTGGGCAGGAATTTATTTTGTTTGGATCAACGTGACACTGTAACATCTTCACGCAGACGTGAAACACGGCCAAGAACTAGATAAGGAATGGAACATTTGGACAAGAGTTTGTCCTGCCACCTCATATTTTGTTTGGGCCGGGGTTACATCACTGATCTGCTGTGCAACCCAAGTACATTAACTATGCTCAGATACTGTAAGCAACAATCGAGATCCAAAGAGGGAATGGGTCTTTTTGGTTTGTAAAGATAAAAAGCTTGTTTCTTTTTCATTTAAGTTCTAGAAGCTGCAGACACCAGAAAATCTGCGGTTAGATCTGATCTTATTGTTGTGTTCAGTGATTTTTAAAAAGCAAACTTCTTAACTGTTAACTCTGTAAAACTCCGGCAAGGTTTGCACAGCGAATCCCCCCATTTGTTGCTGCTAGTCTAGTCGATTAGCAGGTGTAAACTGTAGCCACCCTGCCTGTCATCTGAGATGCTGGGGTTTGTCTAAATCAAAGGGTAGGTGTGTCTAAACAGATTGGCCCTACCTCACCTGATATATTAGATTTGTGGCTCAACAGGCTCTGAAGCTCAGGCAGATCAGATGGCCTGCGCTCTGCCAGACAAATAGGTAAAAGAGGAGCGATAGGAGATACTGCAGTTTAAAGGCTGTTACACACCACACTACCTGCCAGACATCACACACTGCCGGCCTGACCTCTTGGTGACACACCCACGCTGACTTGAGCTCTTCATTTGAGAGCAATATGTCTTCATTATCTTTATGCACACTTCACTGTTTCTGGAGCTGCAGGCACTCAACCAGGAGAGACGTTACTCTGTAATAGAATCAACATGTAACAGTGCAGCATCCAAGCCTTTCAGTCAGTCCTCATCACTCCTCGCAGCAGATGGCAGAGAGCTGTGCTGGTGCATGTTTTCAGTTTTGAGCAGACTGCAATCTGCCTCATCTGAATGAGTCAAAGCATATGATTTCCTCTTATTCGGCCTTTGAAGTCTAGGCGTTCTAAAATTACATCCGTCCGAGATTTAAATGCATCTCTCTAGGTGGTGTAATTGGCCTGTGCCTACTGTATCAATACAGTCGGTTCCTGTGTGAAAGCCTGCTGGATTAACTTAAGCTGTAGAGTTAACCTTTAACGACTCAGGGTTGCATGGCAGCGGGGTAACCGCATTATTTATCCGAGGTCAAGTCTGCCCTTGCATGCCTATATTTTTTTCCTCCCATCTCTGACTGAAAAAAAACTGAAAATGAAATTGACAACAACCTCTGACCTTCAGCTTCCAACTCATCACACAGCAGCCATCATGGAAGAGGTTAAAACAGGGCACCTGTAAACCTATGTCTGAACTGCTCTGGACTGGACTGCTCTGCATTCCTCCACTCAAGACTTCTTCTTGAGCGTCTGAGCAGCACATATGCCAGTATTTCTGTGCATTGTCTAAAAAAACAGTCTACATTCGGATAGTGTTATTTTTTCACATCTGAAAATTCGAATATTGTGCTTCCTGCACATAGTTAGATGACAATAGAGATACTATTTTCATATGTCTATTACTATTTAGGACTAATGCCTGAACAGTTTCTTGGCAAGCACCTTTTTGGAGGTGCCAGCAGGCAAAGTTTGGATTGGACTGTCTCATTCTAAAATGATGAGATTGTAAGTAAGATAATGTCTTACTTACAGTAAATGTGCGCATGTCTGTGTGTGTGTGTCTTTTTGTTAGTTGTGCAATGTTTTAAATGTCATGTACTATCACTGTGGTTGATGTGTTCCTATTCCCACAACGATCTATCAAATTTTATCTTATCTGCTCATGCAGTCTTTCAAAACAGTAAATTATTAATTACAATATAGTTGATGATCGTAGAGCTGACATGTCAGAAAACTGTTTAGTGTCAGCGGGAGCCTGGATATGAGCTTTATAAAAGCAACTTTATAAGCAGATCTCCCTTCTGTTTCTTCCAGATGACATTGGAGGTCCCTATCCAGATCAGTTTGATGACGTAATGGATTTTATTGAGGCTACCATTGGCAGACTGCGGAGATCTTCGGAAACCAGCGGCGGTTCCAGGGGAAAGAAGGAGCAGAGAAAGAGAGGAGCGGCAAACACAGGAGGCGCGAGAGAGGAGGGGAGAGGACACGGCGACAGGAGGCGTAATAGGGGCCGAGGGGGGAGTAGAAATGGCAAAAGAGGACGAGGTGAGAAAGGGAAGGAGAAAGAGAGTATATCTGTGCAGACGCGGGGGTGCTTGCTAAAGGAAGTCCACCTCAATGTGACGGATTTGGGGCTGGGCTACCAGACTAAAGAGGAGCTGATCTTCCGGTACTGTAGCGGCCCCTGTATTGAGGCAGAGACCAACTACGACAAGATCCTGAACAACCTCACGCACAACAAAAAGCTGGACAAGGATACACCCTCTCGCACCTGCTGCCGGCCGATCGCGTTTGACGACGACCTGTCTTTTCTGGACGACAATGTGGTGTATCACACGCTGAAGAAGCATTCTGCCCGGAAGTGTGGGTGTGTTTAAAGAAGTCACATGAGCGGCACGTAGCAGACTAAGGATATCCTTTACAAGCTCACGCTGGAGAGGGACATGTGTACACAAGGTCAAATTGGGAGTGTTTGTCTCCTTTTTGTTGTTGTTGTTTTTGTCAGTAGTCATCAGAGGAGGAGCAGGTAGGCGTACTGAGACCGCCTGAAAGACACTGGAACAGCAGCTTGAAAGGAAACTGTGCGTTCATCCCATACTCGACTGTTCAAACACGTGCAAAACAAAATGTATCAGGTGTGCACCAGTTTGCAGAAGATTAAATACTGTTACACTTTCAGATTTGCCAACTGTGCTATCTAAAAAGGGTGAGAGTAGAAGAAACATCAGTTGTTTTGTTTTTTCCACAGCTGGCTCTTTAGACTGTAGATGAATCCAGAGATTTGACGAGCTTCAGTTGCAATCGAAACACTTCCAGCCTGGATGTTGGCATTTACATTCAGAGCCAAGGAACCCCATCGGAGTTAAGCAAAGACTTTTTTTCTTCTTTTTTTGTGCAACACATCTACATAAAACCCAACCTATATGCATACATATAGTATATACGTGTGTCAGAGGTATATTTATTAAGATGGAATTAACTTATTGTTATTTATTTCAATCCATTTTATTAAAAAATGTCTTTTTTTTTATTTATTTAAAGCTTTGTTTGTCCTGGATAATGCCAAAGTAGAGCATTTTCTCAAGTAAAACCATGCAAGCTGACTCAGACCTGTTAAAACACTCCCACGATCCCAAAGCTTATTTATGTCACTTAGATTCCAGGCTTTCTCAAGCAGATCCAAATGATCATTGTTAGCCGTTAAGGAAAGATGGAGAAGCAGAGGAGGGGACCAATAGAAGATTTCTTTTTTTTTAAATAGAGCTGATCTGTTGTTGCATTTTGAGTAGTTCACCTCGTTATCGCTAATGTGACCACACTAAGACAGGGAGAAAACGTCACCCGGGTACAGCCTCCCATTCAAAGCATCCTTTAAGAACACTATGTTTACGCGGAAGCAAATAATTCTTTGCTGCTGTTTGTTTATAAAGTGTGTGTGTGTTGTTTTTTTAAAATCAACAATCCAGGACAGACTCGGCGTCACTCCAGCCATAAGCCATAACGACTTTTAATTTCAATCTGCAGTCGACACGAGAGCGGTGTGGTCTCGCGAGGATCTGCAGGTGCCTTTGACGATCCATCCTTTGAGTCACACAGTACAGAAGCTGCTATTTCTGCCTGTCAGCACGCGTTACCTGAAACCTCGCCCTGGCCTCGCACCAAATCTGAGCAAAAGGCTTTGCAGCGATAACCGTCCCAGTAGGCTTTAAAGTTCACGGGGCTGGCCGTGTTTCTGTCTGAGCTGTGACAGACAGGTCTTTTATTTTTTTTTATCCTCAAAGGGGATTTGAAAGTGATCCTCTAACATGAGTCTTAACCAAATATCCCCACCGGCAAAGGCAGTTTAAGGAAGATCTAGCTGCTGTAGTGGATGTCATCACACAACTGATATGAATATCTCAAAGGACTCAACAAAGGAGTATGTTTTGGAATTACTGAGCAAATGATTGGTAGGCTCAGTGGGCTTTTCGGTGTAATAACCCGTCCAGCCACCTGTCCCCAAAGTTTAGGAAGAAATATACATTAAGGAAAGGAGACTCTTTAAAAAGCGCGTTTGTGTGCCCTGTTAAGGGGGTAGTTTTAAGTGGAACAAAGAGAGCCCTCGAGTAGGTCTTGATGTTAACACGGATTAGGGACCAAGGTATCTGTGCCCACCCATCAGCAAGCAGGCCAGCTTTACTGTGTAATCCCCCCACACAGAACAAATCCAATGCATCAAGCTGAATTTAGGCCAAATACTACACAGACAGGGAAAAAAAGTCTAGCTTTTATCACAGCATACCTCATCAGTTGGATCATCTTCCCCTTTAACAACTGATTCGTGCATAAGCCTTCCCAGATGGGAATGTGGAGGCTTCCCAGAAGCCTCCAGAGCACCTCGCTACTCTTCCACACCATACATTAAAGAGTGTGAACTGCAGCACTCGTCTCATCGGTGATTAGTACCCCGGTTTTGATGCAAAAGTGTAAAGATGCGAAGGAATCCTCAGTGTTAATTTTAGAAGAAAAGGACTACATTTGTTATCACTCCGCTATCACCTCTGTGGAAAAGAAAAAACAAACTGTCATGTCGTCTCACTTGTTGTGTGTTACAGAACCAAAGCTCTGGGCAAACTTTATTTTTGTACAATATTCATTTTATAACTTTTTACAGAATTAAACTTGTTTCTATTAAATGAAAATGTCTCCTGGTATTGTGCCATGTACGACAATGATCCACCGGTGCCAGATGGTTCTCATTTGCAGGGTAATGTTTACACAGGCATCAAGCAAAATTGAGGGTGAAAAATTTGGGTTAAATGGGGAGAAATGCGAGGATGGTTTGAGAGATGGCCTCCGCAGTGTGGCATCCCCCTTCTGCTCTGAATTCTTGAACGGGAGCCCGGGAGTCGTACAGTAAACAAAAGCCAGCAGAAAAGTGCCACCGACTGTATATCAAGCTGCTCGAGTCTGTTTCCACTGTGCAGAGAAGATATGTAAATGGCGATGAGAAGGTGGCAGAGGTACAGATAGTGAGTCATGACACAGACGCAAGGAGTGCACGCGATGTATACCTGATGGCACCTTCTAATCCCTTTACTCGGCCTGGTTACTGTGAACCTAAATGGACAACTGGTTAGTTGCTGTTTAACAAACCTGAAGGTCACCTCTTTACCTCTAAGTGCAGAAAAGAGGTTGTCTTCAGTCTCATTGCTTGAGCAGAAAGATGCTCCAATGAAAACGAGGTCTGTGAAATATTTGCATTGACCAGGAATATAAATAGAGATTCATCCCCCCAGATATTCACTAATGGTACTGTAATTAAAAAAAAATGTTTGAATTTGAGAGTGAGCTTAGTCTTTTATAGGCCTATAAAAGGTTCTACCTTTAGGCCTACACAGAGCTTCTCCTTTTCGCGTGCCAGACGCTTTTTCACACAGTGACGGACTGATCAACCGTCCCACTTGAATCAAACTGCAATCACTCCCCACCTCCCGCTGCTGACTGAGGACTCTGCTACTGAAGAGCTTGACGTCAGCCTCTTCCCACGAAGCCAGTATCCTCTCTAGATGCTTTTAAATACATCACTCACTGTTTCAGTCCATCCATGTTTCTTCTTCTGGTTCTTCAGTTTCATTTCATGGCCACAGGATGCTTGCCAGGACACACAGAGACATTTTATTTGTCTTCTTATAATTTTAGTTAGGACACATTGCTCTACATATATAGCCCTTTCTAAGCCACTTGGTAAAAAGATGAACCAAAAGCCAGATCTGGATAAAAAAAGGTGTAGTATTAGTTTACAGTTTTTGACATTCACTCATTCATTTTATTATCCAATTCAGGGTCTTAGAGGTCGGGGCTTAAGTCTGTCCCAGCTGCCATAGGTCGCGAGGCGGGGCACACCGTGGACAGGTCACGTATTGCGGGGCTCCTGTTTGTCATTATGCAGGCTAATCTTGTTACAAACTAGATACATTTGAAAGCCAGTGCGTTGTAGGCAGGCGATGCATTCCAGAGAGATGCACAGTACACAGAACACAAACGTGGCTTTCATTAACTCTGTATGTTGTGGTTTTTCTCTGTCAGTTGAAGGATTTTAGACACTACCCAGGTCAATCAAAGGATTGCTAAAGAAAAGAAAAAGGTATGAATGCACAGGGAAACAGGACCTCTGTGAAACACAATGAAATTAAGGAATCCGACTGTGGAAGTTCATCATTCAGCTTGAGAACAGCTGTTTGAGAAAGACTCAGCTCAGCGCTGGAAATGAAATGTGTACGTGGGATGCATACCGAGTAAACTTCCATATACTGCGTTTAACATGTGGTTGGATACTGCTGAAATTTACCTTTTCAACATAACGATGGTTTTACATAATAAACATTGCTGTACTTGCAATTATGTTTTTTGTAAGAAACCAGTGAAAACAGGTTTGGGGTTTTTTTGTTTTTAAAGCATAAGACTGTGTGCTGTGTATTTTACATCCACAGCCGCACAGAAAAGGTATCTGGCAAAGATCTCCCTTTAATCAGCTCTTAAAACCATTTCACTTTGGATAAAATATACAATTTGACATTTGGATGCAAGTCTTTTATTAAGGCGTTAGGTGGGTGTAAAAAAAAAAAATTAATTAAAATAAACAGATGATTTGATAAAGTTTTGTCGCAACCCACCAAAAAAGTACATCTGTAGAAACATTAAAGCCTTTAAAACGTCTCAAAGTAAATTTGGATGGATTTTTTTTTGTACTTCTTAGTAATTTACTTTGTACAAAGTGGCAAACTGTTCTTCGTAATGACAAACAGCTCTAGACCGCAAAATCTGGAGCCGATTTACGAGGCATTAGCAAACGCTGGAGATGTGGGGTGAGAGGACAATGGGAGCGATGAAAATAAAGTACATACAATCTAAACAGACGTAAAAAGCCAAGTTTTTCCACTGTTTATGAAGTTTATGAATTGCAGTGAGAGGAACATAAGCCTAAAGGAAATGATATTTATGATAAAATCCTTTCTGATTTATGGGTTTCCCCTTAACACAGAAGAGTGCACATATATACACATAAAGGCTTCACAGCGTTGTCAGGGGGACAGATACTGTACAATTTAGGAACATAATTGATGCTCCTTTGCTGAGTACTCAACAATAATTCTGTCTTGCGACTAATTGCCCACCGTGTCAGCTGTCCTGTATAAAATGAACTGACACCGAAGTCTCTCAGATTTTGCGTTTCTTCCATTCTGGCTCTTGGTCGGGCTCCTCATCCTCTGATTCCTCTGCAAACACGGGCTCTGGCTGGGTCCTAAAGGGATTAACAAAGAGGAATGATTTACCTGCTTCTTTAAACGTCTTCAGAGCAAAACAATGAAACGTACGAACAAAGAAAATCAGCAGAGCAAATGAGAAGTAATGGAGAAAGTTACATTTCTAGTGCACTGGAGTAAAGTTTTATTCTATATAGAATAAACATGGCTTACTGAAATTTAGGCCGTAAACTGAAACTTTCCAGATTAAAAATTTTTCAACACCAAAACATTAAACTAACCTGAAACGTTTTGAATGACTTGAATGAGTCTATTTAGCAACTGTCACTCCTGTGATCTGTTGGCCAGAGTCTCTGCAAGTTTATGATTATGATAAATGACTAACTGATCGTGTCAGCGCACGTGAGTTAAAAAAAATAAATAAAAAAACAAAAAAACCCTCCTGTGACGACTTTGGCTCGTTGAGTACCTGGAACGTCAGCCTTTGTGACTTTTTAGTAAAATTTCTTCGGTGTTCTAAGAAATGAAGGTAAAGTCGTGCAAAAAATGTCCAAAAAACTGAAACATTCATGCACAAAATGTACAACTATCTTCGCAGACCGCCATAAAAAAAGGCACTGGCATGTCGTTGTGCTACGCTAAGACAAGTTTATCACGGCCAACACGGCAGCTTTATTAAGTAGCATCCAAACTACGCAGGTGTGTGAAGATAAATACACACAGTTGGAGGGTTTTTGCAGTTTACCTCAGAGAATAATCTAAAATTCTTAGACCAAAGAACACTCTGACAAGAATGAAAATAAAAGTTTATTTGAAGGTGATCATCAGATTTAAAAAATACACACGAATGTCTGGTGATGTTGGGACCAGGCAGATTTTCTCCTAAAACAAACATCAGATTTATGAGACATAATTCCATTAAATGCTGTCAGATTTCTGATTATTGCCATTTTGTTTTAAACAATGTGCTTTAAGTTACACTGAGCTATGGTGTGTGCATACTATTGAGTCGTTTTTTTCTTTGTTGTTGTGTATTTTAATGCAAAAGCTCTTCACTCTGAGTGCTTGTTTTTGCACCTTTCAAATAAACATGCATAATTGCAACAAAAAATCTATAGCTGCTTGCAACACCTCTAAGCATTAACTGAATGTTTAAACCCCCAGAGAGCTGTAACGGTGAAAAGTAGCCCACTGTGTGAGCAGCCAGGCTAACGTACTTCATCTGATTTACCTACTACACTGTGTATCACAAGGATACTAAATTTAACTCGAGCTTGTTTGCCTGCAGTCTGAAAGACAGACTGTTTGATTTGGCTCAGATTTGTTCCACGCTTACATAGCTGTCGGATCCTGATAGTGATCTAAAACTGTCTGTTGCTCTCTGCTCTGCAGTTTCGAGTGCGTGAAACAGTACAGCTTTTTAAACATTTATGTGTCACACCGGTAAGAAGAAACCTACCTATGTGACACCTCGCAGTACTAAAAAGCAGACACACTCATCTTACACTGTCTGATAATGAGAGAGGGTGGGTGGGTGAGCAGGACAGAAACCGTCACATGGACACAGTGTGTGAATTATTCATGCATTTTTCTCTTACTCTGTGTATGCTGGAGCAATCCAATAAGGGTTCTCTGATGCTTCCTTGGCATGACGCAGGATGGCCTCTCGCGGGTTACTGTCGTCCGTTTTATCTAATGCGATGTTCTTCACAATGAATGACGACAACGTGCCGCCGTGAGCTGCGACTCTGCCTCCTCGGCCTGTCAGTGCACACAGTTAGTGGATTAGATCCAGCTGAGACTCATGAACATACAAAACGACGTGTAAATTACTGAAACTGTGCATCTTCTAAGAGTTCAGCGAATCCTAAATATCAGTAAAGTGTTACTTTGAATAGTTGGCAGTAAATCAGCATGTCCGTGCAAACGCAGCAATCCACCTCAACCAAAACGTTCACAAAGAGGTTGCTGCCAATCGTTCCCGGATGGTTGCGGAGCGGTCTCTAGGCCCGTGTTACTGGGGCCTCATTCACTTAACCCCACCTTAATAGACAGGAACATGAGCTGATCATCATAATGGGCAAACAGCAGATGTAAGGCTATGATGAGTGTCCTTTTCTCACCAGTGGATATTAGACCTCTTAACTAGCTAATGAGCTGAAGTTCTGAAAACCGGGATTTTACATTTTTCAACTTTGGCGACTTCACACGGCGTCACAGGACAATCCCAGACGTGTGAGATTTATTTACTCATATTGATGTACTACATATTAATCTATAGTACAAAATGAGATGTTGGAAAGTGATGAAATTTGTGGGTTAGGTAATTAATTTTTTGGCATCAGTGGGAAAAAACACGTAACCTTTCTCGATACTTAAATTCATGTGATCTGGGAGGAAAGCAGACTTCCAAACCTCCACTTAGCTTTGTTTTCAGTCTAGTTTGTGACACGAGGCTTTAAGAGAGAGGATGTTCCAGATGGCTGTTTAAAGATATAGATGTGACTCTCTTACTACTTTAAAACATAATGGGAACATTACGCTTTCTTCAATTATCGGGTTGTCACATATTTAATTTTTAGTCCCTCCACAAAGCAGCGCATACAAGCTCGGCTCTTTGCTGCAGCATCCGTATGCAGTTGGCTGGATTTGACTGCACTTAATGGAACTTTTGGGGGGGAAACTTCCTGCTTTCCAGAGAGGACAACTTAAAGGATCAAGGATATGATACACACACATGCACGCATACTTAAAACATGTAGGGATTTCCTGCTGAAGCTGGGCCATAGATTTGTTTGGGGATTGAGAGGCACCTCTTTCCATTGCTTGTAAGCATCCGGCCAACCACCAAACGTTACCTTGCAGTCATCCAAAGTCATTTTTCACAAAAAACAAACAATATAAAGTTCGTCTGTAATCTAAAAACCCAGGACCTGCTATCAAACATCCCACCTTTTCATGAAGTGGATCTTCTTTTTTCATTCGCAGACTGTTCAGTTTAGACTTGTGTCTTTTTCTCAACCTCATTGACACTTTTATTTGTTTCATTTATTTTACACACACACACACACACACACACACACACACACACACACACACACACACACACACTCACACACACACACACACACACACACACACACACTATATATATATATTTTTATTTTTTTATTTTTTTCTATTTGTTATCTTTAAGCAAAGTTTGTGTTTACTATTTATAAGCCTCTATAAGAGTTAAACGACTCATACACTATTTGGTATATATTGAAAAACAATTATTTCCTTGAATCCAAAACATTTGATTGGCCTCATGTGCAGCTTAAGGTAGACCTGTTGTGATTGGCCTAAACTTCCAAATGGCTTAAACATGTCTTTTGAACTTAAAAAAAAAAATCCCCACTGTGGAACCATTATATTGTTGCAAAGACATTGTGCTGAGGGATTAAGTGAAAAAACAGTGGTAGTGAAGAGACGGTGAGCCAGCTGGATACTGTGATACAGGAAACACTGTCTGGCCCTTTGCCATATTGAAACACAGCTCACAACGGTACCTATTATTATTTTTAGGTGTAGTATTTTGTAGAAGTGTGTTAAAAGGTGTCTTTAAAAAATATGAGGCAAGAGTAAATCTCTGAGAGACTGTTACAGCTCGACATCAGCTGGATTGCATAATACCGAGCATATCAACAATTACGGGTTTGCACATCTGCCTTGCACCAAATCTTGTAGGTGTCCAGTTATGAACATGACTCACATCCAAAACAAAAACAGCCGCTGAATTGCAGCCAAACCTGATTAATCTAATCTTGTTTAACATCACTTTTCATATCACCTTTGGTCCTTTCGTTTTCTTCTTGTTCACTTAACTTTTTGGTTTTTGCATTACTAATTTTAAAAACAGGCAACAACAACAACAAAAAAGAAAAAAAGAAGAAGAAAAGAGCATGTTACCTGGTCCAGACACCGGAGGCTCGGGTTTGTGGGATTTCTTTGGATCAAGTCTGTCCTTCTCCAGCTGTTTGCGTGTACTGCGCTGTCGGGCCTCTCTGAACATGGGTAAGGCATGAGCTGGAGACGCACAGAGTAAACAAGGACAATCAGTTGCTTAGGTAACTAAGACCAACACAACACTGCCACACAAATAAGTAGTCAAGGCACCGAGGAAATTGTCCTTAAAA